CCGTCCCTGCCCAGGTCCCACACACGGTGTGTTGATGGTGCTGGTTGCTGCCACGGCACTGCCGTCCTCTCCCAACACGGACACATGAGAGGTGCCCATCTTGTTGCCCCTGACCCCGGACAGGTTGTAGTGGTTGAGCTGGTGGTCGCCGCGGCCATCGATCTGCTGGCGGATGTGCTGGGCTAGAGCCTCCCCCAGAAGGTCCTGGGAGGTGTTCTGGGGTGAGGGGTCAGATAGCAAGTTAGTGAGGAGTCAGGTAGTGGTGGGGTGGGGAGGTCCTCAGAGCAGAGTGGAGGATGCGCTCAGTTCCCTCTGGGAGACCCTTTCTCCAGTCTGTTGTGGGAGGGCCTTCCTTGAGCCCATGCTGAGCCCAGATCCTACCCGCTATAGCTACCACCCCAGAGTCCCTTCCAGCCCTCGGGACCACTGCCAGGATATCCCTGCCTAGAACTACAAAGAAATTCCTCCCCCTTCCCCATGCCAGACCTGTCCCTCCCTCCATGCTGTATTCTAGGGAAGAGATGGGAGAGGACATCATCAGCCCCAGGGAGCCTTACCTGTATCCCTGGGTGACTACGAGGGTCCCATAGCCGCCACCTCTGCCCTACTGCGAACTTGAGTGTCTCTACAAGGTGATGGTACATGCTCACTTTCCCTTCAGGCCGGGCTACCATCTCTGCAGAGAGGTTGAACCCTACGGAGATAGTAGGGTCAGGGATATTACTTTGTGTAGTGGGGTGAATGCTGGCCCCCCAAAAAGATTTACTCATTCCTTTATCCCCATAATCCGTGAATATTGATTTATATGGCACAACAATTAATATTACATTATATGGCAAAATACGTTAAGGATTTGAGAGAAGGAATTTACCCTGGATTGTGTAGATTATGTAGGCTAGACCTAAATGTGATGATCAAGTGTGTGTGCGTGTGTGTGTGTTTGTGTGTGTGTGTGTGTGTATGTGTAAACACACACACACACATATATTTTTTTTCAAGACAGGGTTTCTCTGTGTAGCTCTGGGTGTCCTGAAACTCTCCCTGTTGACCAGGCTAGCCCCAAATTCAGAGATCCAAACTCAGAGTTCTGACTACCTCTGCCTCCCAAGTACCTGGATTAAAGGCGTGCACCACCACCACCACCACCACCACCACCACCACCACCACCACCACCACACTGGACCACGCGCATCTTTATAAGTCAGACACACAGAGAAGAGATGCCCCCTCTTGTCTGTGGTCTGACTTTCCACAATTTCAGTTACCTGCTGTTAAACATAGTTTAAAAATATCAGATGAGCCGGGCGGTGGTGGCGCACGCCTTTAATCCCAGCACTCGGGAGGCAGAGCCAGGCGGATCTCTGTGAGTTCGAGGCCAGCC